TTATAGAATTAACAGATGGGATATAAGGTTTAGAGAACTTTAACTGTAATGAATAGAATCGACGAAGGGATAGAGTTCACCATGTAATTAGAAAAGTATGTTAGGCTACTTTTTCTATATGTCCTATCCAGCGAAAATGGAAATAATCTGGTTAGAAATGTATATAGGAAACACACAAATAGGAGGTTCCTTATAAATTTTTTACAAGCTACAATCATGAGGTTAAGGTATGGATTATGAAACACATGAATTTAATGAGACTGTAATCTTGTAGACATTAATCATCGAGACCAGGAGCTGCTACTGTATCCGCTTCGGATTCATGAATTAACTTCATTCATCTACAAGCATGTAGGTAGGCGATTAAATAATTGAGTGTCTTATTAAGATCGCAAAAATAGGTGAAAAAAATGTGACGGGATGCAGCAGGTCACCTTTTCTCTTGGTTTAGTAAATATTTTGCTCTATTTCGTAATGTATGGATTCTTGCTCTGATGATGTTAGTCACTCTAGCACGGGTTCATCGGGGTCGCAAGACGGTGAGCCGATGGCTTCTTCTCACAATCCAACAGTCTTTACTCCATAGTAGTACTACTTCGGTTTTAGGTGAGGCCATTTCACGAACTCCTTCCAACCAACTTTTCTTTCAAATGGAAATTTATGTGATAACTCGTTAAGGAATTCTCCGAAGCCTAGTTTTTATTTATATAATGGAATTTATCCATTGCTACATCACCTAACTTCGCTCTGATCTCGTAACAAATTATATATTGTCGTACTCGGGTATTTTTCTGACGAAATATCTCTAGTTATATTAGCAGGAAGACCTAGAGGAACGGACCTTGTCCAGAGTCCATAGCATGCATGATAACTTCCAAAGTCAGACCATGGACTTGGTACATTCCCAGACGTTTCGCCGGCATCATCAGTGAGTCTTGCCATTCTCAGTAAATCAAGCTACAACTCGTCAAAGAGACAAGTGAAGTCAATCTCTTGAGCATAACCGTCTCGACAGAAAGTTGGCTTGACGAGTTGTAGCTTGATTTAATGAGAATGGCAAGACTCACTGATGATGCCGGCGAAACTTCTGGGAATGTACCAAGTCCACAGTCCGACTATGGAAATAATCATACATACTATGGACTCTGGACAAGGTGCGTTCCTCTAGGTCTTTCTGCTGATATGACCAAGTTGCGAAACCAAGGTAAAACAACTTCTATAAAACGAAAGGAGGCCGCGACCACACAAAAGGCCATACTATCCTGGTCTTCATTCCATCGAAATATCTCTTTGCTCCATTTCTCGCTTCCCTCTAGCCCTTATTCCTCTAAATAGCTGGACTAACGCTGCTTCCTCTGAGCACTCACATTCGGTTAGAGGGATTCTGACTGATTTTCTATAGACATTCGACTTTTTATTCATGAGAGTAATAGCTAAGTATCTAAAAGCTGTCAGGATCGACTTGTCTTATGTAATCTAATTAGACTATTATTGCAAAAAATAATTTTTTTACCTAATTTCCTTAAAAAAGAATATTAAATGGCTTGAATAAGACTTGCAAAACTTACGATTCTTTTCAAATTGATACAAAAGAGCAATTATATTTGCTTTTATCAATATTATCTTTAAATGCACACATGGAACACCTCCGTTACGACTTATAATAAGCCACAACTAAATCTCCCTTCATCCCGCTCACTTCTAAATAAGAGTCGATTGTGTATATGAATGCGTATTCATCTGCGATATTGTAGATGCAAGTCTGAGGAGTTAAGAAAAAATGAAATTACAGCTGGAGGAGATCCATAGCTGAGTTACTATTCATTGTCCGAGCTCTCGAGCAAGGGTTCCTCTTGCTCTTGTTCAGGCTCTACCTGTTCCTCTTGTTCTTCACCCTGCTGTTGATAGTCTGAAAAAGAGTCCTGCATTTGAGGTTGCAGCAATTGGGTATTTTGCATCTGTGGATGTTGTATTTGGGTCTTTTGAATTTGTGGTTTTTGCATCGTACTCTCCTGTTGAGTTGGTGGAGGGCCTTGGTAGGCATTGAAGAGTCGGCGGCGTCTCAAGCTGCCTGTGTTCTGTTGTCCTTTTGTCCCTGAATATTGGTTATTCTGACCCCCGTACATGGTGTTCTGGCTGGTGTACTGTTGTCCTTGCCGTTGCTCCTGCTGATTTTGCTGTGGCTGCTGTTGCTGAGACGATGAGTATGATTTAAGCAGGTTAGCCAGTGAACGCAGCCAAACCCGACGTCGTTTTATCCTAGCGGATTGATTTTTTGAATTGGAATTAGCGCCAATTCCACTCATCTGGCAGCTTTGCGGCTGGAGTTGGGTACCATTTTGGATTTGTAGCTGGGGCTGTGAGATGTTTTTAGGTGATATGTTCTGTTGCCCTTGCTGTGGGAGCGCCCGAGTTTGCACCTGTTGCTGCTGAGGTGGAAGCTGACCCTGTTGGTTCTGCAATTGCCCCTGGCTTTCGACCAAATCTTTCAGCAACTCATCCTCAATGCCATCGTTGGTGCCGCTTAGCAGATGGACTAGCATGCTGCCAAAAGTATCTAGTGACTCAGCCCTATCTGGTCGCATGATGGAGTTGCCTACAACCCAGATCGGCGTCCAAACAGCCACTGCGACAATCGCCAAAAGGACCCAACTTACACGAAGCAGCATTATGGCTAGACCCACCAAAATCTGTGGGAATCGTCTCGGTGGCGTCTATTTATAATGAACTGTTAGTGTGTATAAAGACAGTGCGATTTCAATTACTTTGGCTCTTAGAGGAGGATCTTCTTCTATTTTAACAAAAGATGCTCTGTAATTGACCTGCCTATCTATGGGCGAATTCACTCATTGGCTACTTATTAGCCTAAACGTAATGATTTCTTTAAAACTTTACTCTTATGCGATGCGTGTCCCCATTTGAATGAGCAGAGTGGTGGAAGCATAGGTTCTCAGGCCCTTTTATCTGGCCACTCCAGTGCTCCTAAAGAAATTAATTCTGTCTGATTTGTACGTTATAGTGCAGGGTGTTGAGGGTGTTTGCGACCTCTTCGTGTCTAAATTCTTTAAATTAATTTTTTTGTTGTTGCAGCATAACCTTAACTGAGTTCTTATATGGGGTAGCGCGGGTCACAATTGTTTTACTCATGACATTGCTTGAAGAGCTAGAAATAACCCTAACTTGCTAGGGTTAAGATAAAATAATGCAAACCAAAAGTATTGTTTGCACATTGGACAGTATTTGTAGCACACCGTTTGAATTCATCAGGCTTTGATAATTGCACAAAGAGCATCTGTGCACATAAAATGAAAGCCCAGTGAATATTGACCATTAATCAGTCACTTATCGTCTAGACTACCTTGAAGAGACTTAAGCAGGTTAAAGGCCAACAGCCAAATAGAGTGGAAGCATGAGTTTAATGTTGACTCATAATTACAAAAAAAGGCTACCAGGATCATCCAATATTGGTTTCCTTAAAAAAAAAGATTCATCTATCTTTTTCCCTATATAAAGCTATATGACCCTGGCAAGAACCTGTGGTTTATGTCCAATAGAAAGATATATTGTTACTTATGCGCCGTGAACTAGCAAAAATATAAGTTTAATGAAGAGCTTAAACGACAAGAAAACCGAGGGCGCAAACGAGAAAATTACTTTTTAACATCCTATTTTTATTTTATACAAATAAATTTTACCCAATTGCCAATAAATTCACCAAACTATAAGTGACATAAGAAAAGAGCCTTTAACATAATCTGAAGATTCACTTACTTAAACGGGGCATAGCTTAATCATATTAACAACATTTTGAGCAAGATATTTTCAAGTTATTTTTCGTTTATAAACATCTGAAGATTAAACAAAGCTTAGCTTAGGGTGGGCCATATCAACACCCCAAAAGAGAGTCGAAATCATTAAACTTATACTAGAATCCATAACATTTCAAAAGTAGCATGGGAAACATCCAGCTTACGGGACAACTTGCTTATAGATAAGATACTAGCCCAATAAGAATGATGTAATTAAAGTCGCATAATAAAACACAGGATAGGCTTCAAAGAAAAAAGCATATAGTAGACAGATAATTCTGATATGCAAAAAAAGTGGTTTTTGAAGATAATTCTGGCGTCACAATTGAAATCTTTGCAAAATTTAAGGAATACAGGTAAAAATGTAGAAAACGAGGTTCAAATGGGTAGGGGATATGATCCAAATATATGGCATATAACTATGACAGAAAGCGATTCAATATATAGGATAGAAGGAGGGTAAGCCCGACATAAATGGAAAGTCGGTATGCTGAATGCTTAAGATCAAAGCCAGTGTGCGCCATACGAGTTAAGGATATGTAAAAAACAAAAAACGGAAATAAATTAAACATCAAAAGTTACATTCAGAATTTCATGTCCTAAAAAGGACAAATTCGAACTAAGAAGTTACAATGAAATAATTAATAAAAAAATGCAGATTTTCCTATTTATACCTTTAACTAAAACAGATTTTAAAACTATTGTCATCAAAACTAAAGTTAAGCCTTAGTAGTATTAATGATTTGAATCGGCTACAACAAATTCCAACAGTCGGTTGTAATATTTGACGTTAGGA